AGCCAACATTCAAATAGTCAAGAGTGACACCGGCCCCGGGTAAGGGGATACCCAGCACATTTCCATCCCTGCACCTGCCCTGCTCCCCACAGCAGCACCACCAAAATCCCCCCCAGCAGCAGCAGCTCTATAAAGCTCCTCTTGCCATCCCTCACACTCAGACAACAGCAGCCACTGCCCTGCCTTAGGCACTGCTGCTACAGCCCCCTTGGCCAGCACAGCTCTGCTCCCCAGCTCGCACCATGGAAGATTCTCACTCTCCACGCCAATCCAATGTCACTTCAGTCAGCGCCACCACTTTGGCCATCATTACCCTTGAGACATTTCCTGGCATGTGGATAAACGCTTTCATCGTTTTTGTGATCAGCACTGCCTGGGTCAAGAGGAAAACCTTGAACTCTAATGAGAAGATCTTGCTGCTTCTTGGATGTTCCAGGTTTTGCTTTTTGTGTTCCTCATGGATATTTTCCTTTCTTTCAATACTCTATCCCGATTATCTCTATGTTCACCCCATATTTCAAGCACTTATAATTATTACAGGCTTTTTCAATTGTTCTGACCTTTGTGTTTCTACCTGTCTTAGTGTTTTTTATTGTATAAAAATTGCCAATTTCAGAAACAGCTGCTTCATCGGCCTAAAAGTAAAAATTGACAAGATTGTGCCTTGGCTCCTGTTCGGGTCACAAATTTTCCCCATGGTTATTGGAATCTTACTCTATGATATCACTGATAAAGCCCAATGTAACAATGCAACCAGTCTCAGAAATTTGGGGAAATTGAATATGAAGATGGATGAATATTTTTTCCCTTATTATTTTATCACTGGCCTGGGATTTGTCACTTCATTGACAGCTGTCATCTCTTCTGCCCTTCTCCTTCTCTTTTCTCTCTGGAGGCACAAACGCAACATGCAGACAAACTCCATGAACAGCCCCAGCATGGATGCCCACATCAAAGCCATGAAATCTATTCTCTCCTTCTTAGTCATGTACAGCATGAATTTTATAACAATGATTGTGACAATGATTTATTCCACCAAGGAAAGGAAACGCGAGACGGTTCTTATTTTTGTATTTCTGTATGCTTTTCCAGGTATTCATTCCCTCATTCTCATTTTCAGCAATCCCAAACTGGTAAAGACACTCTTTAGCATTCTGATGTGTGTGAAGTGCAGGGTTTGCATGAAGAAGGAGCTATAACAAAAGCTGGAGCCCTTGCAAATGTTGATCGTTCACTGTAGAAAACAAGTAATGTAATCTCTAATGCAACTCTCCAGCCATTGTAGATGATAAAG